TTTGCAATTTTCAAATTACCTCTTATTCTGGTATTTCCAATTTGCCCTCTATTTTGAAACCTGCGTAGATTTTCTCGTGAGGCCACCAATGAATTTTTATCACAGAAACCGTAGACAGATATCATAACGGCATATTCGTTGTTGGAAAATTTCATAATACTTACCTAATATCTTGTTTTGTAAACTTAATTTCTCGTAACTTCGAGTACTGTAATTAATATTTTGACATGTAAATACGCATGTAAACAACTTTGTTTTTTATAATGATAGGTACCTATTAGATAAGAACAAATACCTAATATCTTTAAATACATTTTTCTACGAATTAATGCAGGCGGTACTTTAGACCCAATTTACTCGAAAACGGTTTATTTTTGAGCACTTAAAATAGAGCACATTTTTTGTTCAGAATCGATTGCAGATTTAGGAAAACTTAATCAAATTGCATAAAACTAGGATATGCAAAAGTTATGAAGACAAAACCTTGAGGACAAGTTGGACTAGGTCGCCCCTGTCGTCAGATCGAAATAAGTACCGTGTAGGTTTAATGACCTTTAATAGATGTACAGTGTACACTTCATCCAAAAATTACTTAAATCCCTGAAAGGGTTTTTGAGGTATTGCGGAACGTCTATTATTTTTTTCTAAATAACACCTTGTAACTCAGTGAGAGTGCATCACAGAAAAATATTTTATAAGAATTTTAATCTTATTTTGGTCTGGTCTACCCCCTGGTAAATTTTTGTATGCCGACACTGGGACACCCTGTATAGAAATAAGAAAAGCATTGACATTGACAAAGATAAGTACAACTATAACCGAGACATGCTGGTGATCTTAGAGTGCCGTTTGCCAAACTAAAACTAGCCCTGAATGCTCCTTGTTGCTTGTTCCAAAATGTTTTAATCGTTTACCAAACGATGTTAAATACTGTTTGTTTGTAAATATTTTTAAACGAAAGTTAAAGCTAGATTTGCTCGATAAATGCTTTTACAGTGTGTCGGAGTTTTTAAATTTTTAAATTGAAGTTTGTGTAGAGAGAGTACTATTTACTATTCTCGTATTTTGTTTTATTCCTATATATTATTAGTTGACGTTGACGGCTAAACAACTGTCACTGTACTTATGTGAAGATTTTTGAGTATAAACCTTGAATGTACCCACTGTACCATCATATTCGTTAAATAAAACCTATATTGGTTTACACTGGCGCCCAATAGGTTTTATTTAACGAATATGATAGTACGGTGGGTACATACAAGGTTTTATACTCAAAAATCTCAACATAAGTACAGTGACAGTTGTTTAGCCGTCAACGTCAACTAATAATATATAGGAATAAAACAAAATACGAGAATAGTAAATAGTAGGTACTCTCTCTACAAGTTTTTTATTTGTTTTTTTTTATGTTAGATTAAGCGTGTGACGAATCCTATACATGTATACTGTCTTAATGGAAAATAAATCATTATTATATTCAAAAAATGAAGTTTTCCTTTGAAGCAACAAAATGACTTTAATTTCAAAAACGCAAATTTTCCTGTTTTGTACATTATTTTCAATACTAACTGGTCTTTCCTTAATGAATACACCAATCCAAATTATGTATTAGACGCTTTTTATGACAAACTGAATAACATTTTTGAGGACTGTATTTTTGAGGACTGTATTCCTGTAATCCATTTCCGGTATTCCAATATAGGAATACCGGAAATACTACTTTCTTAAACAAGTTTAAATATCTGCGGTCCCAAATAAAACATGAAATAAGCATCTCCTATAAGTTATACGTACAACATGTAGAAAGTAATATACAAATTAATCCAAAAAGTTTTTGGTCCTTTATCAGCGTTAAGAGAAATGTATCTCAAATTCCTTCCATGCTTACGTATAATGACCAAACTATTGATGATCCACAGACTATAGTTAATAGTTTTGCTGATTTATTCTCACAATCGTATATAAAACCGGGTAAAAATCATTGTCGAACATCAAACGCTAATGTGCTATAGTATATTAAATAATAAGGTTTGAAAACGACTCTTTGCACACGAGCTAGACATATTGGTGACACATATTGGTGACGACACAAGTCGAGCGAGTGTGCAAAGAGGTTTTCAAACGAGTTTTTTATGATACTTTTTATACGACTGCAAACAGAGACCACAAAAATCAAATTTTAATTTAAATCGTTTTTATTACTAAAATTGCCAACGCATTAACAAAATAAATTAAATACAACTTTTAATTTAACTCGTTTTTATTAAGAAAATTGCTAAGGCATTAACAAAAGAAGCTAATATTTAATATTTATGGTAACATTTGAACATTCCTTCAAGGTTACGCTGGGAAAAGCAGTATTATTGTGCACCTTGTTTTCGGTAATAGAGAATATTTTTGGTGTCGTGTTTTTAGTGCAGTTTTTCAGCGTGCGGTCGTTGTTTTCTTGTTGTATTCCAGTAGACGATCGTTGTTCTGGTTCTGTGGCAGCAGAAGACACTGAAGACTCTATCTCTTTCGAAACTTCCATTTTATTTCTCAAACAGTCATCAACGTAGCCTTCGGCAACTGTACTGGATTTCCACCCTCCATGGCGTTTGAGGGCAAGCAGATTTGAGCCAGAATTGACTAAAATTGTGGCCGATGAACGCCGAAAACAATGTCCGTGTAGGTAACCGTTAAAAAATATCGTTTTCAGAGCGTGTTTTCCGTGCGCAAAACCCCCTTTTGCAACGCAGTCGTATAAAAAATATATTAAACTTTTCACAAGATGAAGTCTATGCTGCGATAAAACAAATTAAGCTAAAAATGAAATTTCGTACTTGGGATTTGGGCTCTTGGAATAATAATGAGCAGAGCTTCTGAAGACAAGTTTATTACGTGCTAGACTGGTGCACGCGAAGCACAGTTGGTTTTATACCTGCGGCGTGCTTCCGTTGCATTTTCCTTTTGATAAAATAATACAAAAGCTACGTTTCTTATACTACGTGATAAAACATAATAGGAAGCAAAAAATAGAAAAAGCATGATATTAAATCAATCACATGATTATGACAACCGGGCCTGATTTAATACCGGCATTTTTTATAAGAGACTGTGCGTTTGCTGCCCCATTAACAACTATCTTTAATTTATTAATAAAAACTTCGTATTATCCTGAATGTTGGAATTATCTAGTGTGTCCTGTACACAAGAAAGGCAGTAAGAAAGAATTGGTTAATTACAGGTCAATTTCTATTATTTGCAATTTCTCCAAAATATTTGAGATTCTATTACATGACTTCTTATACAGATCCTTATCCGAGCTGTTGACGTGGGAGCAACACAGTTTTATTAAGAGCAGACCCACTGTTACTAACCTTGTTCAAAAAACTCAGTTTATTAGCGAAAAACTTGGCAACATGAAATAAGTCGATTTTATCTATACCGATTTCACTTAAGTTTTTATCAGACTCGGCCACGACCTCTTGCTGTACAAACTGGATGGGTTTGCTGTGTCCGAATCACTTTTGCAACTTTTTTAATATATGCAGATGATACTAACGTATTAATCTCTGCAAAAAACAGAAGCGAAATTTCACACTGTGCGTCCGCCGGGATAGAGCGCGTAGTGAAATGGTGCGGAGATAATGGTATTAAGCTAAATGCAACCAAACCACAGCGGTGGAATTCTGTCCAAAAAAACGCTCTGTAGATGAGTTTGTTGCTTAGGGTAGAGGAAAAATCAATTGAAAATGTTACTGCGGTGAAATTTCTTGGTTTATACATAGACAAAAAACTGACATGGAGTGATGATCACATAGAATATATACTTCCTAAACTTAGTTCACATTGTTACCTTATAATAAGTATTAGAGATACCGTATCAACAAAGGTATTAAAGTTGATATAATAATAATAATAAAAGTTTATTCCTTCTAAAAAAATATTACAATTTTTGTAGGAAGAGGTTCTGCACTATGTATATGTAACAAAAAAAAAAGAAAAGAAAAGAAAAGAGAAAAGAAAAAAAAACAGAACGGCTTACATACGTAAAAAAAACAAATCGCCAGGAACAATATTTAACATGAATACATTATGCCAACTGCAAACATATTAAATTAAGAACAGTTCACTCATTTAGAACAAAAGAACGAAGTCTCAAAAAATCTCTCATAAAACCTGCCAACATTCTAGCATTACTCAGAGTTAAACCATCAAGCATAATGATAAACGAGTTAAGTGTTAAATTTCTGAGTTCTGGAGGTCTTAGACCGGTATAAAGAGGGCATTCTATAAAAATATGCTCAATAGTTTCCAGTCTGTGTTGGTTGCATAATGTACATAATTCAGATGGATTGATAGAGTAGGAGATGCCATTAAATGTAAACTTCATGCAAAATTTATTACAAAGACGGAGTTGTGAGATAAGTCTAATAATATATATAGGCAATTGAAACCTCAGATAAGATGCGGTGTCCCCTGTCATATTGAAATTTCTATACAAAACAGGGGAAGAAGACATCATAACTAGAGCTAGGTCTTTCCGATAAATCATTTCCTTATATTTATGCAACATGGCAGGCATATGTCTCTTTAGTCGAGAATATGTCAAGTTGTTCAGAACATCCGCACAATCTATACTGTCTAGCATCTGTCTGACTTGATGAGCCCAGTTGTACCGAGCGCCGTCATTGAGAAGTTGTAGTTGCCTGACGAAACACATATGCGCATAACGATTGGTTTCCATTGCCAAAAGTTTGAGTAACCAGTTCAGACATGATTTAAAAACCAATAAAGACAGACCACTAATGCCTAATTCAAGTCTAACAATATAACCAGGTGTGTTAAGGGGCAGTAATAAAAGTCTTTTAAAAAAACTGACTTGCACCTTTTCCAACAAGTCCGTATAGCGCAGTGCCCAGACTGGTAAAGAACTAGTGAAAGAGTTGACAATAATCGAGTTATACAGAACCAAACGTGAATCCCAAGAACTCATTTTGGATCTGGCCATTAAAGATATGACAGATCCAACTGCCTGTCTAGTCTTTCCAACCACTGACTCGGTCATCACTCGGAACAGACCAGAGGAGGAAAAAATTACTCCTAAGTAAGTAAAACAATTAACACACTCAACGGGCTGGTTGTTAAGTAGGAAAGGGAAAGTATTACAGCGACCGCCACGAGAGAAACACATGATCTTAGTTTTTTGAGTATTCAACGTTAACTGTTTTAGTGTCACGTACTTTTCGAGGATATTGAGTTTACGACAAAGGTCCACTTCTGAATCAGCCAATAGCACTAAATCATCAGCATATAGGAGCATAAGTATTTCGTTGCGGTTATCAATGTTTAGCCGACGAGCGTTAAACGAATCAAAAAAATCTTCAATATCAGCAATAAACAGAGAGAACAGAAGAGGACTTAACGATTCTCCTTGCAAAACACCTGCAGTAATGTTAAATTGCCTTGTTAGATTACCCTCTGTACGAATTCTAATATGCGCTTGAGAATACAGCTTTTTAAGAAACATTATTATGTTGGAACTTAGACCTAAAGCATATAGTTTTTCCCACAGAAGAGAATGGTTGATAGAGTCGAACGCACGCTTAAAATCTACAAATGCTGCAAACACCTTGCGGCCCTTTAGTCTCAGCTGAAACTGAACTACGGAGGAAAGCACAAAAACGTTATCGATGCATCCCCGCCCCTTTCGAAATCCAGCCTGTGATTCAGGGAGTGTTTTATTGGACTCCACCCAACAGGTTAGTCTTGAGAGAAGAATACTAGTAAACACTTTCGCAAAACAGTTAATCAAAGCTATACCACGGTAATTAGCGGGGTCGTCAATAGGACCCTTCTTATGTAACATGGTTAGGATAACACTAGACCAACTTTCTGGAATCGCTCCTGTTTCAAGAATCTTATTAAAAAGAACGCATAAATACAATCGCCAATTTTGGGGCATATTCTTAAGAAACTCATATGATATTCCATCCTCACCCGGAGATTTACCATTCTTGCAATGAGATAATACGAGGTCGAGCTCTTCTGATGTAATGGAGGCATCTAGAAAAGGATCTCTTACTCCGTAGTAGAAGGCATTATCAAGCACAGAAAGAGGGTAAATATTTTCGTAAAACTGTTCGCAAGTCTGAACAGACAATCCAGGGACATTTTTCTTACTATAAAATTGTTGTAGGGTATGCCAAAATGTTCTTTGATCCCTTGCATTGCTCAGCTTGGCAACAAATTTTTTTTCATGCTCTCTCTTTTTGCTTTTAATGAGTTTATTATATTGCTTCTTCAAATTCAAATATATAACCCTGGAAGGGTTGGTAAAATTATTTGTTTTACAAACACTAAGACTACGTTTAAGGTCTAACTTCAAAGTTCTACACTGATAATCAAACCACGGTTTTTTATAACGGTTAGCGATATTATCACCACTAATTTGACGCATTTGTTTGACTAGGCCAATAGCTCTAGCCGATTCAATTATTGCATTACATATGTTATTATAGGAGGCAGATACCTCATAAATAAAATGAGCACGTGGAGATTGTCGCATCACTGAACTATAACAAGCAGACAATCTGTCATCCCACCTTAAAACTTCAGAAGTACTAGATTGGCCATTAGCGTCACTCAGTGGGTAATGAGTAAGCCTTAGTTTCAAAGATACAGGGAAATGATAAGATAGCAAACACTCGTTGTCAACTCTCAAGCAGTCAATAACCCCCAATCCAATATTGTTACACCACATCAAGTATATACAGTACACAATATAAATTTAAAATTACAGCTGCAATCGATTAGCAAAATAATCCACCAGGGGGACTTGTGCAGTAGCTTTACCTTAAATGTATTCAACACAAAAATAGCCAGACCACCACTAGCTCTTCCACGACACTTTTCATTAACAGCACTAGAACAATAAACATTATATCTACGTGAAAGAGACAGTGTTTGTCCAGTAAACCAAGTTTCGGATGCACACAGAATACTAAAGTGGTTCCCATTTTCAGAAGAAATGTAGTCATTAAGATTATTGACACCTTCCACATTCCAGAAAATTACACCAAGTGGTTGCTATTTAGAAACTGTATTGCATTTATCGATCTTCTTGCCTTTGGCTGGTCTGGGCGAATTGTCATCGTCTCTTCCCCTTTTCTGTGTACTTCCACCCTCCTTCCTCAAAATCTTTGGAACACCTCCCACGTACTTGATTGTAAGATTTAGTTCCCCTTTATTTTGTCGCGTAGTAAGCTCAGTTCGCAGCTCTGAAAGTTCTTTGGCTTGCATTGGCGTCAAATCCTTCTTAATCCTTACATTGGGGAAATCAGAAGTGCTAATATGTTGCCTGGATTGAAGCACTTTTATGACTTCTTCCTTGCTGGAGAGGGTAGCTTTGAAAGGTTTAGGGTGGGGATCACGACCCCCTCTTCCAATGCGGACACCACTACGTAAAGTAAGATTTTGTTCTGGGGCAATTTGATTAAGTAAATGACCAGCAGTTAAAACATCTTGTTCGTTAGAATTTTGGGGGGCAGGTTAAAAATTATAATATTATTTTCTCGCTTAATGCGCTCGGAAACTTCAGCAACGGATGCTTGCACGTCTACTTTGTTGAGATGGCTTTCCAGGGAACCGATTTTTTCACGCAAAAAGGCGTTTTCTTGTTTAATTTCTGCAATTTCAGCCGTATTAGAAGTTATTTGGGTTTTTAGGGCGTCAAGGTTCACATTACATTTATTTATTACTTGACCCAGAACATTTAGCTGATCCATAATAGCTTCAAAATGCGAAATATTTAAGGGTGCGCCAGAGGAACCTGCAGCAGTGATACTGCCAGCGTCTGAAGATAACACGGCTGAGAAACTGCAGCACTTCCGACAGACACGGGGAAGCGCTAGCGCAGAATCGGACCAGTTCGATGGAATATGCTTAGTCAGGGTACATCCGAAGTGGACGATTTCATTACAGATTGAACATTCCACTTCATCGCTCGATTTAATAGGATAATTACAAATCTTGCACCGCTGCAACAGTGACATAGCTGGGTATTTTCCACAGTTCAATGCAGAACTTTGAAATGCAACAGAATACAAATATAATGCTAAAAACCAGCTAAAACGCCTTCAATAACGACGTGCGTTTTTTCTTTGCTCACAAGAAATGTCTGAAGAAGCCCGAGGAAGTGAAAAAACACTCACCCAATGTTCACAGTCAATAATTATCGTATCACCAAAAAACAATATAAACAAACAGGAGCAGTATAAAGACGTTCGTACACTTTGGAAAGCAGCACAGAACTCCAAGTTCCAATTAAAGTTGATATATTTTGGATTATTTCAATCAACGCTGGCTTACTGGAGTTCTGCGGCGAATGTTAATAGAGTTTTTTTAGGTCAAAAACGCATGGTGCGATGTATGATTAAATCTTCTCGCAGAACGTCATGCGTAGATCTATTCAAGGGTCTCGAAATAATGACCTTGCCATCACTCTACATCTATTCACTTTTAATTTTTGTAAAACAAAACATTGGGAAAAAAGATACGATGTGCATGCACACGACACCCGGTACAAAGACACATTACATACTAAGTGCCCCAGACTCACAGTAATGCAGAACAGTCCCAGGTACTTTGGGGTAAAACTGTATAACCATGCATTGTCAGTCCGTGAGTGCTTCAAAGCAACAGATAGTCTTAATGTATTTAAGAGCAAAATTAAAAAAAATTAATCAATAAATGTTATTATAACGTTCAACAGTTTTTATTATAAGAAAATGTTAATGTCTCATGATAATTATTTTCAAGTAAGTGTTTTTCTAAACTGACGGGCTTATAATATCCTAAGAGTATTGTTGTATACAAACCTGTATGTTCTATAGCATAATTTTTTATTATGATTATGATTATGATTATGATTATGATTATGATTATGATTATATGATTATGATTATGATTATGATTATGATTATGACTATGGTTATGATTATGATTATGATTATGATTATCATTATT